TAGTTTCTAGTGCATCCCTCATATTACTTGACAATAGTCTACAAATATTTTGTGAGCTATAATATAATGTGTACATATTTTAATATATACATTTACTCTCTCAAAAATACACACAAATTTGACTAAATATTAATTAGAGAATTCATTATATACATGTATGTATAACCTATACAAAGAAAATCATTATTTGTCAAACTTCATGTGGAAATCCTAATAAATTAGATTTAAAGTTCATAACTGGCGGTTTAGCAATATTGTCAACTTGTCAATGGTGGCTGCAGGATTTGAAAACAAATGAACTGATTGAAAATATTGTATTCACTGACATTTATTTTGTAATAACATTTTTATGCACATGTATACCATAGGGTCCATAGTATCTTTTATAGTCCCCGTTCAGGCTCAGCCTGAAAAGGGGACTTTATAATTCAGGTTTTGTCAAATGTCCGTTTTCCATTTTCCGTCTCCAACATTTTCTCAGAAATTCTACAGCAGGTATCAGTGAAACTTGGCAGGTTGATGAAAAAGTGTCTTCCGAGTATGCACGTAATTTTTTTCCCAGATCTGAAAATCCCAAGTGGGTCTTTTTCACGATTTTCATCAAAAATTACCTCTTCAGGCAACATTGACAGAACGTCTGCACATGCTCAAAATAAATTAATTACTGTAAAATACTTTATTTTTGCTTGCAACATTTTTTTGCTATTTTCGCTGAAGGAATGTTTCAGTTAAAATAAAATCCAGCGAATATTCCCTTTTTCCTATATTTTACAGTCAACTTGTAAAAAATCAGTGAAAATAAAATCAATACAAAACACCCAGAAAAAGTCTTTTCAGCGAATGATAATTCCAGCTGAAGTAAAATATTTTACAGTAGATTAGATCTGTGAGTAACGCTATGTCACGTGATTTCTCCATTGCGTGCATTTTATTGTAGTACTGTTTATACATGTATTCTGTTTGGCTCAGTTGTCTCATTCACTAGTTACTAGAAGAACTAGTAACCTTATTTGATTTCAAGAACTTCAAGATGGCGGCATAAGAGATGGGTTTGCAAAGGTAAGTTCTCCAGTTTCAGCAAAATTGAATGTATTTTGGGGTACGATTGGTGTACATTCTGTGACGTATGTACGGACGTGAATATTATGATGATTGCCAGCTTTATATTCTTGTGAAAAGCCAAAAAAGCAAACAATTGTCTCCAATCTACAAAACTAGTTTGTTAATTGTATACCCTGTCAAATTATTGTACACGAACGATTAATTCATGAGGACATAGTTTTCAAGTAAATCGTTTTCCGGTCTTTTGATTGTGTCGCAATTTCCGAAATATCCACAACTCAGGGGGAAAAGAATGTCCCTGTGTCGATCAACTTATTCATTATATAATAGTAGGTTGCCTCTGATTATATTCGTATTTTTATGTTGTGAGCATTGAACTGTTTAGTTGTAATGAAGATTTTGCCGATCTCGTGCCATTCAACATGGCTGATGTACAGTGACAACACGTGTATGGACGGTCGGACCATGAAATCGCCTGGCGTTTTTTTGGCATTTTTTTTTTAGTTTTTTTTTTAGCTTTTTAGCTTCGCTGTCGACTTTGTCGAGCGGAGCTTATCATATGAGTGATTGTCCGGTGTCCGTCGTCCGTGTCAATGTTTTACTTTTTTGACTTTTTCTTGAAAACTACAAGCCTGAATGCTTTGATACTTGGTGTATATGTACCTTGGGTAGATCTCGCTCAGATTTGTTCATTTTGTGATGATATCTTTAATTCCCTAATTTTGGTGAATATTTTTGTAATTTTTGGTAAAAAGTGATATTTTCGACTTATTGTTAAAAATCGCAAGCCCAATTGCTTTGATATTACATATATAGGTACTACATGTGGACCTCTCTCAGATTTGTTCATTTTGTAATGATATCTTTAATTCTCTAATTTTGGTAAATATTTTTGTCATTTTTGGTAAAAAGTAATATTTTCTTCTTGTTAAAAAACCACAATCATTTATGGTCAAAAATGATATTTTTGATCTCTTGTTGAAAACAGCCCATTGCATTGATACTATGCATATTGTTCATTTTCTAATGATATCTTCTTCTGTTCTTTAATTGAAATGTGCATTGCTAACGGTGGAGCTATCTCAGCCGAGCGGCTGCTTGTTTTTAATATTTTAGATATTTCATTCACTCCTGAGTCTAATTTATATTTTACCGTAGTCATTGACACCTATTGTGAATAGCCTGAATGGGTAAGCTTCGTTTCGACAATGAGCTGTTATTTCTTCGAACAATATTAAATTATTCCTTTGAATGCTCAGTTTATTTTTTGAAAACAACAAATTTTTTGATTAAAAAAAAAATCATGCTGTTTTCTTCGTCAAAATCAAAGCATAAAGATCTTGCTAGAACATCGGTAAATCTACTACTGCGTTGCCTTCACCACGAGGTAAATGAGAACATGGTGGATATCGTATCGCATCGAGCATTTACATTTGATCGAAATCATTCGTTTACGATGTAACTAAGTTGAATATTACTTCCAATTCATAAAAATTCAACGAATTGAATTTTTGGGCGTTATTATAATCATTACTGAATAATAATCAACAATTGCAATACTTCCAAAACAAGTAAGTTATTCACTTGCGAAACACAGAATGACCAGATTGTGCTACCGTGATCATTTGCTACCGGTACTAACCACTAAGCAATGTATTCGTGTTTGTATTTATTCAAAACTTCTTTTAGAACATACTTTACTTTTCGTTATCAACAAAATTATAACAAAAATAATGCATATTACATTATGTGAATTATTTTGGGGGATTCAATTCCAACATTTCGCGATGCCTATAAACCAAAGGCCTTTCACTCTTTTCTGAGTGTGACACCTAAACCAGAGATTTTATGGTGTATAAACTGGCACTAAATGAAAAGGCTGTTGAACCTTATTCAAATTTATAAGTACATGTTATTATGTATTTCATTATGAAAACTGACTAAATTAAATGTGATCTTATTTTTCATTGTTTGAACAAAATTATGATTTATATAGGTAATGATGTTAATATTAATTGTGCAATTGTTAAGATGCCTACCTACACATATATTGTTTTTGTTTCTGTTGCCCTGAAATGGACATTTGTAAAAAAAAAAAAAAAAGCCCCTTTCTGTTACCTGTTTTCAACTTCTTCCAAAGTAAAACTGTCGAAGCCATGTAATTGCCATACAATCATCAACTGTGGGAAAACTTGTATGTTATTGAAAATCTTTATTTTGTTGTCTGTGAATTAATATAATATTTGAAATGCCGTAATGGTGCAAAATATTCACAAGCAATCGGTCTTCTGATGGCACTACACTGCGCATCTATGCACAGTCAGTATCCCAATGCGCGATAACATTTACTAAGTGATGAGGGTGGTTGAAATGGAAAACTGAATACAAAAATCTAGTAACATCTCAAACGAATTTCCGTCTGCTGTGAATGCATGTTTTGTTGCATCAAATAAATAACCGAATTTTATGACATAAGCTTGCGATCTTGTGCAATAGAGGGGCAAGTGATTGAGCAAAAAAAAATGTGGTTTTATGTATCAGGTCATTGAATGGTACTGCATGGTACCAATGATCTGAAATTTCTGGAGTGCTTGCTGAAGGTTTATCAATCTTGCGTATTGTCTTGTTCTTTTTCAATCCTGCATTTCAGTTACTAGAATTTATACTAAAAAAATAGTTTTTTTTTTTTCTAATAATTCGGCCACTTTCAAAAACAAATATTTTTCTGAATACTGTGAATACTGTGATTGCATAGCGATACCTGTAGGGTCATTGTCAATTAGTTCGCCTGATCAACACAGCGTTATACATAGGGCTGATAGTAGGACAGTAGGTATCCTAACTTGGATGCAATCGCGATAGGTCCACGACCTCTAATGACACGGTCTTCAACAATAGACCAATATTAGTCTGCCCCGATTAGTAGGTCAGTTTCGATTAAGTCCGATTTTACTTGTGGAGCAAGTTGTAACCCTTGCAGGTAGCTGTGTTTGTGGACCGTAGCTGGAACATGATTGTGTACTGGTGAACTTATTGTCTGCACGATGAGAGAGTTCAGTTTAATCACCAGTGTTTGTCATAAGAGTTATGTCCACGGATTTAATCGCACGTATTCTGTTGTTAGTTTTCCTGAAACTGCCTAAGCTGAGATGTTCAGTTTCACAGTCTTCGTCCTCGAGCGATTGATTCTGTAATAAATGTTTGTTGCGTCCCTTCGTCTAACAAAAGATTCACTTTCGCGTTTATGTTGTTACGGGCAATGGTTGCCTTTGCCGTTTTCGGCAATAAAGGTCCGGATGTTGGGGTAACTTTCACATGAGTTGTATCCGGTTTGTCAGTCGGGCGAGTTCTGTTACTGAAACTTTCAGTGCGTTTCTGACTAGCATCGCAGATCAATGTATGATGCCGTTTATTGCATTTACAGCATGTAAATTTACTATAACAGTCCATTGATTTGTGTCTTCCACCCATGCAGTTGAAGCAAAATTTCTTCTTCGTCAGAATT